AAATCGCATTCTTTATTTTTAAAAAGCCGCTTGACCAGATGATCCATGCCAAAACACAAACCTGACCTGTGTGGTAACTGGCATTTTGGGTTCCATCCCCAACACTGTAACAAAAAAAAAAAAAAAAGGAATTCCAACGGATCCCTTGTTTAAATGGTTCTTTTCTAAATCATTCATGTTACGTAAGAGTGTGATACAGGATGTACAGCTATCTTCTCATATGTTGTGATCAGGGATTAATTCATTAGTTGCATGATAATCAAACGGTCTTACAAGGCCAAAACGAAAATGTTATTACGATCTTCATGCAGGTTAAGCAGAGCAAGAGTACCGGCCTGAGCAGGGAAGGAGGCTGAGGCAGGGTGCGGCACTGGCCCTGGGCGCTGCCCCAGGTGGTCATGGGTAATGCGGACCAGGTGGGTGCGAGGGGGCCGAGGACCCGCAGCAAAACTCGTGTTCCTTTTCGTGAACCAGAGGGGTCTTCCGATGCCTGGGACAGCCTCATCTTCGCTTAGAAAGACAGCGTGTTTCTCACTCCAATATCCATCGAGATGTGCCACGTTTCAGGCACGCTTCTAGGTGCTGGGCTACAGAACAGAACCAAGACAAAGCCCTGCCCTGGCGGGGCGCTCGCTCTGGCGGAGGGACCCGCGAAGTCGCGCAGCTCTGTCCCTGCCGGAATCCGGCCCCTCGCGCCAGGGGAGGCCGGCTGCAGTTCCATGTCGCCGTGCGGACACTGTACCGTAAGACAAACATCAGATTTAGCAAAATTGAGAGGTCTATGGGCATTTGTCCAACACAGAAATCCTCTAACTTCATCCACGTGGGGAGCCTGCACGCGGGACCCAAAGGACACGCATTGACCAGCTCTTCCTCGCTCCGCCTCGAGGCCTGTTCGCTTCGGCTGTTTCGGTACTTCGGTCCCGGCGGCTTGGCCCGTGCCCTGGGTCCCCAACCCAGCTGCCCCAGCACAGTGGCCGGAAGCAGAGAGGAAGCAATGTCCCAGCGGCCAGGCAGGTCACCTCCCTCATCTCCCGCGGCAGCGCCGGCTGCAGTCCAAGCCTTCAGCACGAGACCTTCGGGGGACATCTCCATCCAAAGCCTAAGGGGCACTGCGAGTGACACCCAGCTGGGCTGGAGCCTGGAACGACAGTTCTGCCCAGACCCACCTTCTACCCGGCACAAACCCTCGAGTCTAGGAAAAAATTATTTTTAAAAGCAAAATAACAAATACACAGACACAAAGTAAAACCTTTAAGTGCTCAATATATTTAACATTTTTCTTACAGAGATTTTTTTCATAGACAAAAAGGATCATGAAACTAGCACAGTGGTACCTCCGTTTACAAACCTAATTCTTTCCACACTTCTTGTCACAGAATTATTCTAAGAATAAAAGGTCGTATAATGGACCCACATGTGCCCATTTCTCAGCGTTAGGAATCAGTAACAATCTGGTCATCTCAGTCATCTGCCATTTTTCTTTGGGAACAGGAAGGGAGCTTGTTTTGAGACAGGGTCTTGCTGTGTAGCTCAGGCTGGCCTCAAACTCGTGGCAATCCTCCTGCCTCAGACTCCTGAGTGCTGGGATTACAGATGTGCGTCACCAAGCCGGGTTTAGGAATGGATTATTTTAAAGTAATCCCAGATATTTGTACAAATTTTTATTTTTATTTTTTTGTTGTTTGTTTCTTCTTCTGGTGCCAGGAATTGAACTCACGACCTTGCGCTTGCCAGGCAGGCGCTTTGCCGCTGAGCTAAACCCCCAGCCCCCTTGTACAGCTTTTTAGAACGTAGCCATGGCAGCACTATAAAAAGAACTCTAGGAACTATTCACTTTTAATTTTCCTTCTTCTGTAAACAGAACACCCCAATTTGTTTGTAACTGGCCTGCTCTAACCAGGATGCAAATGCAACACAGTAAGGCTGGGGCACACCCAACCGTCTGTGACCCTCTGGAGCTTTCCCCAACAGCCCCTGTCTGGAAGCCCCCTTACCCCAGGTTTGGTTACCTGGAGCTTCCTGGTCTCAGGCACCGCTTGTGTGCCCCGTGAACTATCACATCGGGGTCACAGATTCAGATTTACTGCTTTCGGGCAGCTGTCAGCTGCTCCGCTGCGGTCACTGAGCCGTGGCTGGCCCTCAGCAACCTTCACAGAGACGCTGCAAGGAAGGCCCCCGCCCCCACATGGTTACTGGCACTCCAAGGTGCCAGGGTCCCAGGAATGGGGCCTGACTGAGGCCAGATCAGAGCTTGGCCTTCCTTCCACCTCTCCACCTCCTGACCCACCCCACAGTGCTCTGCAGAAGCCATGGCCAATGCAGCAAAAGCCCTCGCCGACTTTTCTGGGCCCTGCTCCTTACAGACACTTCAAATGTCTTCACCTTTCACCAGCAGCCAGAAAACCTTTCATTTCACTTGCTTTCTGCCCAAAGGACCGTGAAGTCACAGCAATAAAATAGGACAGGATCAGAGGAGAAGCCGGACAGTCTCCTACTACAAAACGAGCTACAGTACCCAGGGAAAGGAGGGCACTCCTGACCTGGCTCCTGCTGCTGAACACCAAGGTTTTCTAAAACACTTTGAGTCCATTTCCATTAGGTTAGAGAAAAAGCTGAAGAAAAACAGGTGTGGGCCAAGAGCCGGGGACGCACACCGGACCACACCTGGGTGCAGGCTGCCGCAGTCCCAGCCTCTTCCCTCCAGTGACAAGACCTGCCTGGGCACAGCTCTGTCCCCATCTGCTTTCTCCACAATGTGAGGAACAGCAGTGTAGGAGAGCAAAGATCCTGGAATTGGAAGCACTGATAAGACTCCAGGGAACTTCCAGAAACACCTTCCTTATCTGGAGTGTGAGAAAACAGTACGATGGAAAAACCAGACACAGGCAACAAGGGACAAGATTACGACTTGGCTCTAGGCCCAAAGATCTAGACCAAAGTCACTGTACAGCGAAGGAACCACGAACACCAAAACTGCCACCGAGCAAGGCGAGCTCAGTCATCAAGGTCAGCAAGTGGCTCTGCAGAGTTAACCTGCGATTAGGGTCCTTCTCTCAGGGCTTCTGATAAGAAAGGCACATAGGAGATAACTTCAGATGAGAGTGGCTAGAGCACGTCTTCGCGATTCTCTGCCACAGCCTCCATCCCAGACTGTCACTGGAAACAGCCACGTCAACAAGAGGCCAGAAGGCTTCCATGTTCCAAATCATGAAGCTTTACGGGCCGGCGCACACCGGTACCCTCCCCCGGAGCAGGGTCAGAGAATAAACGGCCCCCGCCGGCCAACCCACTTTCAGCCACACGGACCGATTCCAAATTAGGAAAGTGCATGCGATTCAGCACGAGACAGCGCCCGAGGAGCTGCCACCGGCTGCGAACAGACCTCACCACTGAGCAGGAGCAGCAGACACAAGAACTGCAGCATCTTGAAGGTGAAGCTCCCCACCCGTGCACAGCACTGGTGAGCCGGCCCGGCTTTCCCTTTGCCGCGTTTATTACAGACCCCGGCCATTTCACTGAAATTCTGTCTCACCTTCTCAACTGTAAGCTCAGGGAGGGAAGGAGGATATTAGGAGCACAATAAAACTGGACTTGCATTTTCAAAACCCAACTTCCCCTGATAACCTATCAAACAAGCAGGTGCAAGCTGAGGTTTCAGTGGGAACTAGGGGTTTTTACACACAACAGTCTGACTGTAATGGTTAAAACAGCCATTTCTAACAAAGTATATGCCAAGAAATGAAAACTGTAAAAAACCTAGTAATTCAATACTTCTGCTCTGCGGCCCTGTGAGACCGTGTCTCCCCCACCGTGAGGCTGACCGCCCCCCCAGTGTCCCCACCCAGTTCCGAGGCCAGAGACCCCGAAGCCGCCCTCACTTTCTCGCCCATCCTCACCTCCTCCCCAGCGCGTCCACTGCTGCCATCCTGGACGGAGCCAGCAGCACCTCCTGGGGTTAGGGCAGAAGACGCACCCTTCCTCGCCCAACCCTGCTTCCTGCTTTCCAGGCGGAGCCAGGGGGTGGCAGCCTTCCTCGGCTCAAGGCCTGGAAGCATCCCCACCCCTCTGAGCACATCTCCTGCTTTCTCCTGGACACTGCAGCCTCGGGCACATGCTGCCCGTGCCCCTGCCCACTGCCCGCTCTGCCTGGCACGCTCGCCCCTTCCAGAAGCTCAGCTTCCTCAACTATCTGACCCAATACCATCTCTTGCTGCGGTCTTTCTCAGGAACCTGTTTTAATGGCTGGAACAGAAGACCACAGAGTGAAACAAGCCAGACCAGTGGCTCACGTTCTCTCTGACATACAAAACCTTAAGGAGCGACAACACGAAAGTAGAAGACAAACGTAGCGAACAGGAAGCAGCGGGGGGAGGAGCAGAACTCCCTGTGTGCTCTATGCACACACGAGCACAGCCAGGGAAACCCGCCGCTGTGTACAGCTCACGCGCGAACAGGCGAAGGAAAGGAAACAAGCTGCACACCGCCTTGCCGGGCAGCCTCTCTGCTTGGCACAGAACTCAGCCTCCACTACCATTTCACTCGTTCTAACGCGTTATCTTCCGGCCAAATGCAAACTACCCAAAGGTTTCTGTCTGTTTTGTTCACCGCGCTACCTAGCACCTCAAATACTCAAACGTCTGACGAACAAATAGCTGGAAGGCTGTGTAGTGAACAGCTGCAGAATGAATCGTGTCACTGCCGGCCGGTGCTGAGAAGAATGAGCTGTGGCCGGGGAGCACACCCACCCCCGCAGCAGCGAGGCTCCCTTTCATATAAACCACGGCCGTGTAACCAATGACTCTGGACAAGGAAAGAAAAAAACACTTCCCTGAGTTTGCCCAAAGTGCCTCATAATCACGTAAAGGTCACGCATGTGCCTCACAGTGAAGTATTTAGAATGCTTCGGAGTCGGGCGTGGTGGCACACGCCTGTAATCTCAGCATTTGGGAGGCTGAGGCACGAGGACCTTGCAAGTTCAAGACCAGCGTGAGCTACACTGTGAGCTCAAGGTCAGTCTGAACTACATGGTGAGACCCGGTCTCAAAAAAAAAAACAAAAAAACCCCAAAACGATGCTTCTGAAACATATTTTACAGGAGAAAATACATATAAAAATAAACATCCCTATGAAGTTCTTCACTCCGTAAATCCTCTGTCCACTGCAGAGTTGGTGACGGCCCGGGCGGTCGCTGGGGCGCAAGGACACAGGCGCTCCGCCGCGCGGAAGGGGCTGGGCGTGGCCACGCCTGCGCAGCTCCCCTATTTGCCTTTCTTGGTCTTGGCGGTCTTCTCCTTCCTTTTCTTCACATGCTTAGGAATTTTGTTTTTCCTTTTCTCTCTCTGGGCCTCCTTGACCATCTTTTTTCTTTCCTGGGAAAACACAAACCAAAAATCCCATCAGTGCATTCATTTGGAACACTATATGTGTGTTACTTCCGCTGAGTAATCACCTACACACGGAAGGAGAAAAGAGTATAATTTTAAAAAAAAGAAAAACTGTGCGTGGGTTGGTGGTGGAAACCAAGGTAAATTTTTGAGCTTTTGCGGGGCGCAGTTCTGAGGACTGAACCCGGTGCCCTCGCACTGCGCTGCAACCCCAGCCCTTTCACTTTGAGACAGGGTTTCATTAAGTCGCTAAGTTGTCCAGGCTGGGCCCAAATTTGTGATCTTCCTGCCTCAGCCTCCCAGAACGCTGGGATTACAGGTGTGCACTACCACCCCCAACTTTGAGCTCTCTCACAGAAATGCAAAGACAGCCAGCGCATCAGAAATACTGCTACGGTGAATGTGATCAGTGTGTGTCTAGAATGAAGCAGTGAAGTCTAACTTAAACAACAAGTGTCTCTGTGGATGCGACTGTTCACAAGTTCCATGTTCTAACAGAAACGAAGGCTGCAAAGAGACAAAACGTTCGCCTCCGGTGGACAGAGCAATATCCTAGCAGTGGGGTCTGTCTCTCCCGAGTCTTAGGACCCTAAGTTGGTAAGGCCGAAAGGGTTAAACGGTGACTGAGGAGTAAGCGGCAGCGGCCGTGCCCCACAGCCTCTCACGTCTGGGTGAGGGTGAAGGGCGCGGGCAGGCGCTGGCTCTTCGCGCTTCGCTGCAGCACCGCTCTAACGCAGCCCGTGCGCGCGGGACCGACCACCGCTGCCGCTCAGTGTGCTGGGCTGGGGGTGTCCAGAGCTCCTCCCAGCAGCTCAGACCTCAGACGGCGCCACCCCTAGAACCAAGGGTCCCCCTTAGGGTCTGAAGCTGTAATCACAGGCACCATGGAGCTCAGCCCGATCCTGAGCAGACAGAAAAGAGGGCAGCTATGCCGCTGGGGCGCTGGGGCGCCTGCCCACCTTCCTGTCCACGTCTGGGTCCGTGGTGTGCTTCTGGCCCCGCGCGTGGCCCCCCTGCTCCTCAGAGTCACTGTCGGAATTCAAGGAGCTCCCTGCATCTTCGGAGTCAGAACAAGTCTTCTCCTGATCTTCCTTTTCTAGGAGTGCAGGTACCTTTAAATTATTACAGAACCACGTTACTGAAAGCCAACTAGCTCTCTGGCACTATTAAACATGTCAGTGTTAGAATTCCAGTTTTAACGTTGCAGACATACTCTGAAAAATAATATCAAAACAGCAGGAATGATACAGAGAGAAAGCTCACTAACAGCCGTTCCAGGGGGCCCAGAACACACCCAAGTGAGGGCGTGGGCTTCCCAGGCCCTGAGATCAGCACCAGCACTGTCGCTGCCCTCCACACATAGGAGGGGCAGGCTGGGCTGCGGAGGGACCGGAACCACGCCCGCGCCTCGCAGCTGGAGACTTATCCGTGTGCCCTCGGCTGTTTCCCTATGAACTTCATTTCTACCAACAAACCAATGCAATCAAGAGGAAAGACAATCTTTGGCCAAGAAAATTTTTTATGTTTCTGGAAATTCAGCTTTTTTTTTTAAAGCAGAAGAAAGCAGTTTTTAAAAGAGGGTAGTTTCTTTATATAGTAAGATCTTTAAAAAAAATAAAAAATAAAGTAAGATCTTTAAAGGCAATTGTACAGGGGGCTGGGGATTTAGCTCAGCGGCACAGCGCCTGCCCCACAAGCACAAGGTCGTGAGTTCGATTCCCGGTACCAGAAAACAAACAAACAAAGGGAATTGTACAAAAAAATGTCCTGGCTGGTTGTAATAAAATCTTCATCTTCTAAACTCTAAACACTAATTCCATATCACTTCCTGTTACGAACTGAGCTTGGTGGCCTATAACCCCAGCGTGCTGCGGGGCTAAGGCAGTGCCCACAATTCGGTTCTTCCCAGAGAGAAGCCAGCCAACTGTCAAAAAGCAGAATGTGCCCCTCCATTTAAGCAGTTAAGAGTTTTAAAAGAGAACTGCTTTTATTACTAAATTAAAATTACTTAATCACTGCTTGTCTAAAATGTAACACAGAGCAAGACTGCTTTAAAACACAGCAATTTAATTGTAAAACCATTTGCTTTCCGTTTTATGTCCATCAGTTTTACAGAACCACGAACACACGCTCTTCTTACCTTCTGAACTCCTGACAAATCTTTCTTCAATCCTGTGACCGTCTGGTACAGAATCTTGCAGCCAAAAGGGAAAGACCACCAGAATCAGCATAGATTCGACAGACACATTGCACAATCAAAAACACTGTGGCTGAAGGACTGGCACAAATACAGACTATTATGGGTGTTACTCGTGTCCCCACGCAGGCCAAATCCAATCTGGCACCTGGTGGTTCTTACATATAAGCATTTGCAATCTGCTGATGCACGGTCTGAACCCCGTGAAGCGAAATGGTATCTCTTTCCCCAGATAAGCTCTCCTTTTTCCTGTTAGCATACTACCACAGGCTACATTCAGCTATTACCAAAGGCATTTTTAATTTCATGAACGAACGTTCTGGTGAAATTTTTTATCTTGATACTTATGGACCAGCTTCAATTTTGCTTCTTGGCTTACAAAGCCTAAAATATTTACTGTCTGGCCCTTTAATACAAAAATTCATCCCAAAATACACACGTTAACGAAGTGTGTATGTCGACAGATCCAGGGTAACCCCTCACAGCTGGTCTCCCGGGAAACCCTCACTCTTGCGTAATTACTTTGCGGGGCTCAGTTACATGCATCTCGCCCTCATACACACACCCTGCCTCCTTGTGTACCCAGGGAACAGGGGGACACGTGCACACAAAGGGGATGTGCGCATCCTGCTAGCTCAGAGCACGCACTCTGGGCCAAGGAGCTCGGGACGGGTTCGGGACGGGCTTGCACAGGGCACAGCTCACAGACCCAGCTACTCACGTTGTCCTGCTGTGCATTCATGGCCATGTCCTCCTCCTTTAGCTTCATCATTATATCCATGTCCCTTTCATAATTCTTCACTTCGTTCAAGGTTCTGGGAATATATGCTCGCTTAAACACCTGCAAGATGGTGGGGGAGCCGAATCAACATGGTTAGTGGCCTGCATCCGCCGGTCCCTCAGTCCCCTCACCCCTACAAGCCCCGGAGGAACCTGAGTCTACCACCAGCTCCCATGAGAACTCAGCCCAGCCAGCTGCACGCACTGGTGCTGCCAAAAGCAATCTGCTACTAATCATCCAACACTACATTTTTTGTATGTTTTATTTTAAGGAAAAAATTCCCATTAGTACAGGTCTAACGTTATCCTTCACTCCTCCCACTCCTGTGCATCCAGAACGCTCCTCTGAGGAGGTGGGAGAGCGACGGCAGCTGCTGCAGGGGACGGCTCCCAGCTGGCTGCCTGGCCGACTCAGGCGACTCACACCAGGCGCGGTGGTGGTCCCAGCATTCAGAAGGCTGAGGCAGAAAGATCACTGCGACTTCCAAGCCAGCCTGGGCTACACAGTCAATTCAAGGCCCACTTGCACTACAAAATGAGACCTGGTCTCCAAAAAACCCAAAGCAACAACAAACAAACAAAAAACCAGAGGCACCTCTTATCAGCCAGCACACTAAGAGGTGCCAGAATTTTAAAAAGCAAAAAGCCTGCGAGTCCTTTTTGAAAAATATCCTGACTTCCTCCTACACTAAAACAAAGTTTGTTTTCAGCAAAGGTTTGGTATTTAAAATCTACAGTATGTATGAAATCAACTTTAAGTAGCTTAAAACTTCAAAACCACCCTCACAATCATCTGGGAAGTGAACTCAAGAGTCTTTGCCCTGAGCTCCACCCCAGCCCCTTCCAAATTTTATTTTGAGACAGGGGCTCGCTTAGTGATGACTAAATTGCCTGAGCTGGGCTCGAACTTGCAGTCCTCCTGCCTCAGGCTCCCACAATCTTGGGATTACAGGTGTGCGGCACCACAGCCAGCTCAGGCTTTTGCTTTTTGATTCACACACTCCATCTCTTTAGTTTTTCTCCTCTAGGACAATGGGGTAATAGACTGGTGCGTGAAACAGAATGAAATGTAACTTATTCAGCTTAGCTCAGTTAAGTTACGCACTATAAAATCAAGGCATGCTCACCAGCACATACACGTGCTGTATGTGTAAGTAAACCTCAGAACACAAGAGTCCCTTCAGCTGCGAACAGAGAACAAACCCTACCTCTTCGTCCACATGATCTTGGCTGGATCTTTCTTCCTTAGTCCTCTGAGAGGCTATTTCCATGGCCTTTGAGAGAAAACAAGAGGTCATTCTCCTCTCCTTGGACCCAGACAAGGTGTACGCACTCCCCAGTTTCTGTCTGAACTTATTCCAGTCGTCACAGGTATTATCTCGTCACGTCATGCTTCTCAAAGGACTTAGTGAGCTCGGATGGTGCAGGTTTTCCCTATAGACCTGACCAAAAAGGCTGCCAGTAACAGAAAAACAGATGCAGCAAAGGTGGGGTGCATGCCATGGGGTACTGTGAGCCTCAAAAAAGAAAGAAACCTTGTCCGACGCTGCAACATGGATGAACTCTGAGGACGCTATTCTAAGTGAAATAAGCCAGTTACGTCAAAGTCAAACACCGCTGACTCTATTTACAAGAAGCACCAAGAGCGGCAGATTCCCGAAGGCAGGAAGCTGTGGTGCTGCCAAGGGTGGGAGATGTGTAGGCGGGGCAGAGTTCCCGTCTGGGATGATGGAAGGTTCTGAACACGCACAGCAGTGTTGCACAGTGAGGCTGGCGAACTTGACGCCACTCAACTGCACATTTACAAATGGCGACAACAGGCCTGGGGACGCAGCTCAGCGGCAGAGTGTTGGCCTAGCATGGGCAAGGCCCTGGGTTCAAATCCCAGCACCACAAAAACAAACAAAATTGCTGGAATAGTGAATTTTATGACAACTTTAAAAAATTCTATCTTCAGGAAGGCTTCTCAGGAACATGGGAAAATTGGTATCAAAAAACGAGCAGGTCTCCTACTAAATGTTCATGAAGGCTGACAGCCCATGCAGTCTTGCCAAATGGTCGGCGTTAAGGAACCTGGTTTTTCTACTGGCTCTTTTGTCCTTTCTTTGGCGACGGGGCATCTCTCTGTGTTGCCCCACTCACTCCTGAATTTGTCGCCTCAAGCAACCTCCATCTCAGCCTCCCAAATGGCTGGGACTTCCAGCACAGCCAGCTTATGCTGTATTTTTTACTCGGCTGTGACATCAGGCTTACGCAGCTGTCACAGTGAGGAAATTACACCAAGCAGTGTGAGCTTCTCAATTCTGCTGCTCTCGAGTCTCCCTCCGCGCCCACCTCACCTTAGCGAGGTAAGCGTCCATGTTCTCGGGTGTGATGGACGGGTCTGTGACGAACTCGAAGAGCTCCCGCACGGTCATCACCGCAACGGCGTGCTTCAGAAAGAAATCTGCCGGGAGGAAAACGGTGACGATAGTTTCATAAGGGAAAAAGTTATTCCAAGTACTGTAGAGAAAAACAAATGCATGCCACCTCCCAGTCCATGCTTCACGGCAGGGGACAAGCTAGTGACAAGTGGGGGATGGAACTCAGGGCCTCATGCACGCCAGACAAGTACCTCCCCTGAGATTTTACATCCCCAGCCTAACTGGGTACAGCACACAGAGGCACAGACAAGCTGGTGGGAAGCCCACCTCCGCCTCACCGTTCACGTTGGTGCAGTCCTTCCGCAGGAACTCCAGGGCATGCGGGTGGTCGTGCTCCACAGACTGAGACACGTCAATGATGTGCACACCGCCCCCGTGGTACCTGTGGGCAGAGACCACAGGCCGGGGGCGCTATTTTATTGCATCCTTTGTTTTAAGGAATTCTATTCTTCAGAATATGGGAAACAATTCACAAAATGACCATGCTGGCTAAGTCAGCCTGACTTACGCGAGACGAGAGCTGAGAAAAGTTCCCAAGCCCATTCACACAGAACACAGTCAGTTCTGCGATGAAGGTCACTGCGGCAGGGACCACAGCGTACCTGTTACCACGTGGAAGCCAATGCCACAACTTTACAATTTAGGGTGACTTCATGGATTTTGTCTATTGTTTTAAAAAGGTCATGGGATGACATCTGGGCGGCTCTGAAGGACAAACCCCACTCACAGCATGTTAAATTCGCTGAGATCTGCGTGGACGAGCCTGGCATCCTGATACATTCGCCTCATGTACTGAATGACCTGTAGATACAGCTCCCGAGCCTTGGATTCTGATAATGGGACATTTTTCAGGAGTGGTGCAGGCCTTGAATAAAAAGAGAACAAATCAAGACAAAATGAGCAAGAACACATTTTCCTCCCTCAAACTACATCGTTACACCCACTTCTCTTCTATGCCTCAGGTGTGGGGATTTAGCTCAGCGGCACAGCGCTTGCCGGGCAAGAGTAAGGTCGTGAGTTCGATTCCTGGTACAGGAAAAAAACAAACAAACAAAAAAACCACAACAAAAAAGAATTCTTCTATGCCTCATCCTGTGAACTGTATATGGTACAGGTCAACTCACTACATCTACCCCATTCCGGGAAGCTCTCAAATGGGTGCTTTCCAGCGCACCGAATGAAGTATCTCTCAGAACAGTGTTAACTCTGTTATTCTGAAGCATTTTCCAACTTCAAAAGTTAAACTGCTAACATGTGTGCATTAAGACAGTGGAAAAGATTCACGCAAGGAGTGAATCAAATGGGAAATTCATATACTAAATAATTCAAAGCCCTTAAACATGCAGGTCTACGCATGAAGTCCTCAGGTGTACGTATACTTACATGTCATCTTTACCAATGAAACCCATGACGAGAACATGACTTCTTAGCATTATTGGTTCGGGACATGGTATCTCTGCTGTGTTTAACCTGTGGTAACACATAAGAGGCCAAGGAAATGGCGAAAAGGCATCTAAATGAATTAAGGGAGCAACAGTGCAGCCTCCCAACTGTAACAGCATATTCCATAAAGCCTAAGACACCAGTGATTTAGATCGGTACCAATACGCACCACGAAGAAAGACAAAACACTGGCTAGCCAACAACCACACCCCGTCACCGGTAACAGTCACTCCAATTCTAGAAATGTTAAACTGTGGGAAATGCACGCCTTAGAATGGATGAAATAAAGCAGGCATATCCACACTTATCTTTTGAGTTGATAAGCCTGAAAAATGCTCAATAAGAATTGTTGGACTCATACCTAACAGCTAGCAGATCACAAGAATTCAAAAGAACTTCACAACAGGTAATACCTGCTTAACAGTCCGTTATCCAGGGAGAGTGTCTGTGTATAACATATACAGGCTAAAAGACCCTGGAAAGGGGAGGGAGAAATTGCTGAATTTTAAGAAATCCTGATCGCAACAAGGTATGTGGCTTTTCTTACTCTTGTTGTATCCAAAACTGGACTGAAATTTAAAAACTGATGGAATAACATGTGCTTAAATCTAAAGAAATGACATGTCTTCATCACAAGCAGTTGTGTCACTCTCCTGCTGAAAACCTACAGCAGCTCTAAACGTTTTCACACGGCTTACAAGGCGAGCAAATGGTTAGCTTTACTGAACACACGCATGCTGCAAAGCCATCTCATAGAGAACGGGTAGTTAAATTGTTTAGAAATGTGTTTCTGCTGCCTCGCTCAGCAACACTAAGTGGCCCCAGCAAGCCCCTCTCTGCGGGCAGAACTGCGCCTCGACCCGTTGGCGGGTGGGCAGAAGGCGCCCCACACCCACTCACCTGATCAAGTTCCTCATTTCTTTCTCTGCCCAAGTTTTCACCATTTTTCTAGGGTTTCCTTTACAGTAGCCATGACGAAACCTTGAACAAGGAAAGCACTCGTTATTGCACCATTCCACTGTTCTCATTTAATGTTTCAAGAGAGAAATTAAAGCCACTGGGAAAAGAGAAATCTGAGCTCACCTGAACTCCCCGCTGACATACTTATCCCGATCTTTGAACACCAAAATAGAAGTTTTGTAAATTTTGATTGCTCTGCTCTCCCCACTTGGCGTGCTGGCATGGTATACATTAGCCTATTTTAATCAGAAACAAACAAAGATTGTGTGAGTGCTTACTTCTCCAAGGTACTATATTTGATTCTAACCCCCAAAGTCAAGAGAGATGAAATAATACCCAAAGAATACCACTAGATCTGGGAGATTTGTTAAAATATGAAACATCAGGTCAAAACACACAGTCATTCACCGGGTGACTGTACATATATAGTAAACCCTATGTATACACCTATATGAGAGAACTGGTTTCAAATCTTTGTATCTCAAGTATACAAAATATTTTAAAATATTCTTATATCTAATAATTCTTATACAATGAGCTGGTAATTTAAAAATACCATATTTGCCTTTTTCTATATCCATAAAAAAAGGAAAAAGTTTGACTCACAGAAATGAGACCATAAACCCCTACTACATAAACTGCTATTGTGTATACGGGGTACTGGGGATTGAACCCAGTGGTACACTATCACTGAGCTATAGTCCCGGCTCGCTTCACTTTTTATTATTTTGAGACAGGGTCTTGCTGGTTGCCTGGGCTTGAATCTGCACTCCTGCCTCAGCCTCCCAGACTACTGCAATCATAGGCCTGCCCTGCCACACCTGGCTTCCATAGCAACCTTTTAGTGAGAACTCAGGCCTGCAACAATCTCACCATGTAAGCTTACTGCGGGGCACTCAGGGATAAAGTGACAGAAAGCAGCAACTGTACTAAAAAGGACAGTTATTTCTACAACTTCCCACCCAGTCATAACTATTAACAAAGCCAGCCAGCTTCAGAAACACTGCAGTGAAGTAAGTGCCTGGGCTGCACGGCTGTCACGGTCTCCTTCTCTCTCTCATCTATCCCCGGGTCTTGTGCCCGCCAGTGCTCTGTCACTGAGCTACACTCCCAGCCTCTTATTTTCTCTTTAAAGGCACAATTTATTTACTAGTGCCGATGTCTCAGGTGTTTTCTGAAATAAGAACACTAACATGAAAACACTCAGTCATGCAAAGAAAAGCTCACTTCTTTTCCTGTGCTAATGCAGCCATTTATCTCTGATATGATCCCTCTTGTCAACAGCTTGAATAAAATCATTCTCGTCCTGGGATCCAAAACCTAGAAAGAAACGCAAAAATGGGAAGTCCAGAAGATGTTCCAAACAGCATTAAAACAACATCACACCGCAGAGCTTCCAGGCCCGTGCTGCTGTGGGAGGCTCAGGAGTCAGGGATTGTCTTCTCTTGGATTTTTAGTAGTTCATGTAAGGGAGGCGGAAGCCAAAGGAACCAGGGACCTAAACCAAGACGTTCATCAAGTCATAGAAATCAAAGCCTCTCAATGTGAGGGAAGCAGAAATGGACTTCAGACCAAGTCAATGAACAGAAATATAACGCCAACCACCGAAGTAATTTTATATTCGCTTGTCACTATATTAAAAGAAATAAAAACAAGCGCGATGATTTTAATATATCTTATTTAACTCAATATATCTAAAACTATCACTTAAGCACATAATCAATATAAAAAGTCATTAACAAGATATTTAACTTTTTTTAAAAAAGTCTAAGTCTTCTGGATTTGGTGTATACCAGCCGGGCAGCTTTAAACCAAGGTCCAGCACTCTATGGCCCATGGGCCAAATCTTGGCTACTGCTTGTTTTTCTACAGCCTCCCAGCTAAAAATGGTTTTGACATTTGAAAGGCTTGTAAAAGAGATCATTCAACAGAAACTATACACGAGCTGCAGAGCCTAAGTATTCACAAGTTGGCTCTTTCAAGAAAGAGTCTGCAGGTGTCTGCTACACGAGTGAATCAGGGTAAGTCTCCTCCAAAATCAGACTGTCAAGCTTTTTTCTGAGTTGAGGATCTCTAAAAGTTACCCAGGATCATCTCAAATCTGTGGTCTCAAGCGATCCTCTTACCTCAGCCTCCCAAGTACCTGTGACCACAGGTACACCCCAAAAGTATTCTGTCTTGGTAAAAAAGATTTCAACGCCCTCTTAAAGAATTTAAAGGCAAAAAATGTAAAGCCTGTTTTTGTCACTCTCTAAAACTGAAGCAGCTTGGTGTGTGTGCAGTTTCCAAGCACAGCAGCAGTAACTCTGCGTGGCTCAGAGGACCCATCCAGCACTGCAGAGTGAGACAGGGCAAACCGGTTCAAACCTCAACACATTCAGGGTCACACACTCAGTGAGGTGGACGAGTTACACCACCAGCTAAGGTTTCCATAAAGAAAACAACCGTGGCTGACGAAAGGCCTAAATGCGAAACTGCAACTCAAGAACAATGAAAGCAAAGCGAGCCCACGCCCACGACTGCTCTGCTGCAGAGGTTCATCCGGACGGGGGCTGGCAGGGGGCAGGGCTCTAGGTGGGACTGCACTTCTGCAGAATTCGTAGGGGAGATCTGTAAGGGGTGTATGAAAGAACAGCATAGCAATGTCTTAAAAAAAAGTAGGGAATGAAAAACCACAGACTTACAGGCAAGCATCTTTCTTTTTAAAAACATGGAAAGTAAGACTCAACTGATATACTCTATTACTCAAAATTAATTTTGAAATAGAGAAAAGATCTCCTCAGTTATTTTAGGGCCTGAAAATTAAGGCTGTACCTCATCTCTCTGAACTAGGCCACCTATTTTGCTTTCAATCACAAAAACAAATCACACAAAGGCCGGACATGGTGGTACACTCATGTAATTCCAGCAGTTGGGAGGCTGAGGCAGGAGGATCTCTGAGAGTTCAAGGCCCAGCCTGGACTACAAAGTGAGTTCAAGGTCAGCCTGAACTGCATAGTGAAATATCTCAAAAAGACAAACAAAAAACAAGACAAAACCCAAATCACACAAAAGAAATTATAGGACACTGAACACACAAACCCAGACCTTACTCAAAACCACTGGAGGGGTGCTATTCCTTTGGGGGTGAGGTGGATGATACAAAGAGTATTTACGTCTTAAGCCAAGGGTCTGTAGGTAAAGAAACTACTATCTGAAATGCTTGTGCATGTGTATGGGCGGGAAAAAGGGACAGTAGGTAGCAATAGCTCATTTTCTTCATATCAAAAATCTGAACCAACGGTAACATCCAGTCACCTCCCTGCGAATGTGGCAAAGTTAGGAGTCAATTTCCTTCCCTCTTAAACAGAAAGAATGAAACACATAATTTCTGAAAGAAAGAGATTTCTTTTTTCTTTTTTTTTTTTTTTTCAGTACTGGGAATCAAACTCATGACCTCACACTTGCCAGCCAGGCACGGTGCCGCTGAGCTAAATCCCCAGCCCAAGAAAGGGATTTCAGTGAGAAATATGAAAGCATTACCCTTCTCTCCCCTCTCACACTGCTTCATGGCAGATAATCAATCTATTTTCTGGGAAAGCTTATGGAACTACCGCAGGCCTTACTCAGGAGAGTCTGATGATCTCTCGGCTTCTGAGGAGGTGAAAGTACTGCATGGTGGTTTCACAGGCCATGAAGGAACTATGACTGTGATTCATCAACTAATGGTTCTACTCTAAAGCCAAATGTTGATTTCTAAGTACAAAACTATAAAAAGTAGTAATTTCACATAGGAGTAGCTTTAGGTAACATTCGCATTAAGCAAGGATAAAAGCAAACTATAAGCCGAAGAGGAAAGAAACGCCTATTTAAATAAAAGCTTACAATATATATAAATTGTACCTGTTCTACAGTTGCTCTGTCTGCCTTATCTTTGATGCGATACCTAACCAAAGACAAAAAGTATAGTTGACACATTCAAAATTCAGTGAGAAGCCAAAATAAAGCTTCTAAGTATACATCATTTTGTGAGAATGCCTAAGTAGTTTCTTTCATAACACTATTTCATGATTCAACCATAGACTCTTTACCCAGGGACACTTCCTTCATTTCCCCCAAGTGCACACAAGAAACGCCCCTCCGTGCTCCAGGAGCGCCAGTGAAAGGGAAGCAGGAGCAAAGTGACAAAAAAATAGCCAGCCTGTCTGTCCTCCAAATCTTGTATGAGTCTAATAGCACGGAATTAAGGTTACGTATTTGTAAGACTTTCTCTTTAGAGTCTTCAAATGCAGACTCTGCTCTGCTTCAGCTCTGACTCACCGCAGCCCTTGAGCCCTAACAGATTCAAACACGAAGGAACAGACACGCCAGCAAGTAGCAAGAGGCTAGGCGGTTTCTCTAAAAGCTGTTTCTTGAACAAAACAATAAAGCACAAAAAATTTTGGCTTTTAAGGCAGTTCTAACACTACCTAGTTGTAGGTAAGTGTTATTTTCTATAACAGTGATAATAAAGTTTAGCCAGATCTTAAAACAATTTGCTTTGAAAAGTATACATAAAAACAGTTCTCAGTTATAGCGTTATTTTTAAAAATACTTCATGAAAGGAAATCATTCTTAATAAATTCTGAAACAGGACCAGTTTGCACATTTAGCCTAACTGAAAGCTACAAACACACCATTACCCCTATAGAAGCAACCTGTGACTTTTGCAAATTATAGTTTTATCATACATTTCCTTCAGATTCATTTAGTATTTTTAAATTACCATTGTATAAGCTATCCCATTTAAGCTAAAAGGAAATAATTTTGTTACTCAGTCTAGAGTTCATCCCTATCACCCATATTTTATAATTAAAATATTACTTACATGTCTGCTTCCTTTTGTCTAGACTTCTCAGTGACTTTGTTTATGACAGAATCAGTAACATTTAGCTTATCTAAAAATAAAAAATGCATCATGTAAATAATACATAAAGACATTAACAGCCCCTCTGAAAAAAATACTATCCTTTTTCCCTCTTCCCTTCTGTATTTCCTAAATATTACACAATATGTATTATATAGTTTAGTTACGAGAAATACTTGATTTTTTAAAGCACTAAATCCGGTTTTCTTCATAGCACTGTCACCACTTTCATTACTATAGCTATAATTTTCCAGCCAGAATTCTATAGAACTCTAGATATAGAAATACCTCAAAAATACTGAGTCTACATATTAAATTACAGCCATTTGTTAATGTTTTGTAGATATTTATTTATTTATTTATTTTTTGGTTCTTTTTTCCGGTACCGGGAATCGAACTCACGACCTTGCACTTGCCAGGCAGGCAACTGTGTCACTGAGCTAAATCCCCAGCTCCCTCTTTTGTAGATAACATAATGGCCTGAATACCAAGTTTAACTCTGAAAACATTCAAGTTACAAGTCCATGAGAGCAATGAAGATTGAACCAGTGATGACAAACCCTTTAAATACCAAATGCTAAACTGTAACCCAAAACCCACTTATATATCTTCAAAGTGCCAGCACTGCAATTAAACCTGAATACTGAAGTTTTGGATTAGAAAAAACAACTCATAGATTAACATCTTTCATCTTAAAAGAAAAACAGTAACGTGTGCCAGAGCTTCCCCACAACTGCCCTAAATACCGATAGTCATTCATGCAGCATTTGTGGGCAGTTTATATAACAGATACTGCTCTGGGTTTATAGTCAAAAGAAAGGTGATTTTGCACTTTTTAAGATGTGGTGGTTCAAATCAGCATTCGGATTCCCTACATTCAACAGCTTAGTAAATGATTAACATCTACAAAAACAGTCTCGAGTAAAACAAACCAGTATTTTCAATATGCTATTTGCTTTGAAAGGATCTTATTGCAAAATCTAACACAGGACAAATGAGAACACGCATAGGTACCCCTAGCTTCACATTCCCACAAGAGATGAGCAAACAGAACAACAAAATGTGTCAGCCGGCCTCCCTAAAGCCCTCCCTTTACATCGCTGAAAGTTTCAATTTCTCTCAGCCATAATATTGAATCAATAACACATGACTCATCATTTCTTGATCCAATAAAATTACATAATACTTCATGGTTTTTGAAGAATTTCCTTGTAATATATTCTATAAACTCACCTAGATTAATTTTATTCTCAAATTTCCGTAAAACCTTGTCAGCTGGAGTAGACATTTTGGCCGCACTGCAGTTGGAAGTCTGCCTATTTGCCTACAAGAAATGAGTTTAGAAAAAGAAGAATCAAACTATATCATGTACAGGCACGAATTCCTGATGATGAATATGATCATTATGCATATCCAAAATGTACCGATAAACTCAATTTTAAAAAGGAAAAAAAGAAATGAGTTCAGAGTTCAAGGCGCTAGCTAGTTGCAAATGCAAACCTAAGTCCTTAGGGAGCTAGTTCAGCCCCATATACCACCAGCAGCTCAGCCTGCACGGTCTGCCCCGCCTTGGCAGCCGCGTGCGAGGTGAGGTAGCCCTCTCTGTGTGGAAGAAGTTGGCCTGGGCGGCCAGGGACAGTAGGTGCAGATGTGTCTCCAAGTCGCCTGCCCACAGCATCAGTGAGCCCATCATGGTCCCGGCAGGAAAGTTTATTCACGAAGACCAGCCACTGGCCCTGGGCTCTGATGAACTCTCACTCAATGCGAACTCCGACTTGGGGGCTGGCTTTGCGCTAGCCGCTCTGTACTTGTGCAGGCTCCAGCAGAGTGCATCCAGATGGAGTTGGCCCCCTTGCTGGTGAGCACGCGCACCATCTGCAGCGGTGTAGGGAGCCAGGTGTTGTGGCAAAGGTGCTTGAGAATGGAGATGTGTCGTCCCAGCTCTGGCGCATGCTGCGGCACTCGTCGTGGGCCAGCACACCCCTGCTGATGGATGCCCAGCCAGGGCCTGGGCGCTGCAGCCCACACACCCCCGCTTGCAGCCCCGTATGGGGCATCCTCAGCAGTGACACAGCCACATGCGGCGGTGTGGGTCTGGCAGGGCCCAGGCTGGGCTGCACACGCCAGGCCAACTGTCTGTCTGGGAGCTGGCCTGGACCTGCCATGCCCGCCTGCCCCCTTGCCTGCCCGCTCGCCCTTGTGCACCCTCTGCCCCAAGCTGCCCCACTGTGCTGCAATGCTCTCCCCACCCCCTCAATCCTTTCGCTAAAAGGCCTTTGTGACAGAAGGTTAAAGTTACTGACTAGAACAAAAGAGGCCACAATGTTTACTTCTCGATGTATTTTTCACTACGATAAATGACAATGAAAATGTACTTTTCTACCCTGAGTGGCCTATAGATTTAACACTTAAGAATGTTCATTTCTCCCCAGACTGTTCAGTAAAGAGCCAAAACCAACAGTAAACTCATTCTAATAATTTCAGCCTGGGTCAATATCTCAAGAAAGGAAAAGATTCAGGACAAAGTGTGCTGAAGATAAGGCTTAGCACTTAGGAGTGGTGTTACAGGGGCTGGGGATTTAGCTCAGCGGCACAGCGCCTGCCTGGCAAGTGGATGGTAGTGAGTTCGATTCCCACTACTGGAAAAAAAACAAACAAACAAAAAAACAAAGAGTGGTGTTACACACGATTTACAGAAGTGGAAATCAGTAACGGCTGCGGCTACACAACAATATAACCTGAGAGAAATTCTTCAGTTACTTAATTCTTGAACCACAAAAGTCCCTTTAAAAAAGACAGCAGAGACCATGAAGCTGTACCTGTGGGTTACTCCCTCCACTCCAGGCAGAGCCCTTGGTGAGTTTTCCAACTCCGTCATCCCAGTCCCAATCGTCGTCGTCATCATAGTCCTCCTCTTCTTCCTCCTCATCTTCTATCTCACCTTCCCCCTTCTCGGTCATATTACTTTGAAGATCTTTAAATAGAATGCCATCTTCTGCTTTGATTGTCTTCAAATCTGTATTTTCACTAGAAATAACAATGTTTTGGCTTGTTTACATACTCTCTAAGTGAATATACATATATATTCACTTATGATGTAACACACTAAATATATGCTGATAAATCTGCTTCTTCTACATCTCCTAACAAGCTCCACCTTTCTAATATCAATTCTCCTGTTTTTCAGTCATTTGTTTGCCTACTCTTCATGCCCAGCTCCTAGACATGTATACCACATGTTAAGTCTGCTTCTGCTTTACTGAAGTCAGACTGTGTATTCTCTTCCCTATTGAATGCATCAACTCTGATGAGTGGACCAGCTTCAGGAGTAAGTTTAGCACTCCTACTTCAAACTTCACACCACTTTGTAACGGAGTTCCAAGTCACCCTTGTTTACAAAGGGAAGGGGTGGTCCAAACGCCACACATTAGTGGAAGACTAAACATAACAAGAGAAGGGGACTGTTGGGGATACAGCTCAGCAGCTCAAGCAAGTGCCTGCCTGGCAAGTACAAGGTTCTGAGTTCAATTCCCAGTACCAAAAAAATAAAAAAATAACAAATGATAAGAGAAGGGGTACTGTCAAGAGAGAGAAGAGGTTCAGGAAAAAAAAAGCGAGAGAGAAGAGGTTCAGGATGAAAAGAACAAAGCTATCAGATTTTTTGCAGTCTGTGAATTCAGACCCTGTGCTACTGGATTTTCTTAGTTTTTGAAGAGAAGCTATAAATGTGGACATTTGCATAAAATCTTCCACTTAACTGGAATATGGAATTTTTACAACAGTGTGCAAACCAAACAAAATATGTCTACAAGCCAAGTTCAACAGAGGTGGTGCTAGTTTTCATTTTTCATGCAGGGCAAGGGCAGAAATCCTGCAACACGAGTAATATGCACCACTTAAAAACAGATGGGTTTTAAGTAAAATCAGGTATCAATCCCAATTTTGTTAATTAGTAATGGCTCAGGGCTACAAATCCCTGCGGGCAAGGGTAGGAAGAGAACAGAAAATCATTAAATACTTCCTATTTATTATTACTTCGTAAATTAACCCTTCAATTACCAATAACCTAGAGTGGTATGTCAAGTTGTAACTTTGCCCTAGGGCTTTGCGAAAAGCAGCAGGATGTTTTGCAGCATCGCGGGCCTCTATCAACAGATGCACCCCGACGCACACATACACCATCACAAGTCCCTTGGGTAGGGGAACAAAAATCACCCAGTGGAGAACCAATGACTCATCCTCACCCTGCCCTGGATGGATGGTACATTAGAGCACTCTCACTATTCTATATTCACTAGATACACTGGCCTCTTCCCACTTAAATTCTTTCACAAGGACCTGTGTACATTAATCTGTAACCTTGAGACTAGAAAACGCTTCTCATTCATTTCTCTAGCTAAAGCCTACTCATCTTCCCTCTGTCAGCTTACCATCACTTGCTCAGGGAAATCTCTATTCTTCATCCATTTTTTTCCTCTGGATTACTTACTCAATTCTAAAGCTCCTTTTTTTTTTTTGGTGCTGGGAATTGAACTCAGGACATTGCACTTGCCAGGCAGGTGCTGTAACCGCTGAGATATATATCCCTAGCCCCACTTACTCAATCCTAGTAGTGTAATTTGTCTACTTATTTAATATCAGTTTCCCTTGCAAGAGTATGAAGGTCTGCATCAATCGGAATGGTGTTTGCCAGTGTATCCCTACTAATACTAGATCTGACACACAGAAAGCAGTCAACGTGTATCTATTGAAAACATATCCAAGTGATTAATCAAATCTACTTGTAATGAATCTTTATGTTAAATATAAAGTGAAAGATTCTTGAAATTTCAAAATAACTTTCATTTTCCTTATAAGTAGGAGTTACCGTTAATCCTGTTTTCAGACTCCTTATCCAGTCTACCACTAAACTCTGCCACTCATACCTCCAAAGCACAGCTCCATGACCCTACCTCAAGCACCCATCTCTGGCCACTCTCATTCTCCATAACCATATTCTACATAGCAGAAAGATTCCCTGAAATCGTAAGTCAAATGACGTCACCTCCCTGCTACAATCCCTCCTCTGGATTTCTTAAGACCTGACCAATATCTAACTCCTCACCACCACTTGGTAAGGCGCTACCCGACCCCGCCCCTTCTCATTCTCTGTCTCAACCACCAGCGTGCTCTGGGCACCGGCCTCTAGGTCCTCCTTTCACAGCCAGAGGGATCCCACTCTGGAGACTCTGCGTTTGTCCTCCGCTCTTCCTAGGCCCTTCTCGTCGTTTAAATACGGACGTTAGCCCCTGCCTGACCACTACTTCTACAACCACCTATTTTAATTCTGTGCGTATCACACGTTACTACCTAGGTTTTTTTTTTTAATGGTTTGCACCCCCTAAGCAAAGATGAAGTACGACGACAGCAGGGCCATAGCTTGTTCTGTCCATCACTATCTCCAGCAGAAGGCAAACGCTGGCATACCGTAAGTACTGTAATTGTGGCCTGCTGAATGTAGCGCAAAAATCTGTTTCCCGGTTGTTATCCCCAACCCTGCCTCTCGACTAGGGTGGCCGTCCTGGGAACCCGCAGACTCCCTGGACAAGCGGCTTTCCCGAGCTCGGCCCCGCAGCAGGAGGAAACACCCAGCGGCGACGCCGACTCCCTAAGCCACGAACAAGTGCCAACTCCCCAAGGGAGACGGAGTCGGACTCTGCAGAGTCGGGTCCTCCATGCCCGCCCACCTGTCCGAGGACTCCGCGTCGTCAAACTGGCCAGGAACCACCCGGCTCATCAGGAGCCGCCGATAGTCCATGACGCAGGCCGCCCGCCCCTCCTAGGGCAGGAGTAGCACAGACGACGGTTTGACCTGCGGCCAACCCCCGCTTCGGACCGTTTAGAAGCCCAGAAAGCCAACAGCCAGGCCACGTGCAGGGTCGCTCGCCAGCTCCCAGGACCACCCACTGACCGGAAGTCCAGCTTTCCGGATGTCGAAGCGTCCGGAAGTCCCGCCTTCCGGAAGTCGAGCCCACCGGAAGTTCCGCTCCAGGCGGGGAAGCTCAACTGCCAGAGCTCTCCCGGACGGTTCGCTAGAGGAGCAACTGGCAGGGTCGCACGGGTGTGTGGCGTCAGGTTTCTTGTGCCGCCCATCATGCTTGAAGTTTTTAGGGCCCCACTTAGTCCACAGGCTGTTCCCAGGCGCCGCAGTCCTCCTAGCTGCACCCGGAGCGGCTGTCGCCCGTCCGCGGAGGGTTGCCTGGCGCGCGCGGACGTCACACAGGACGCGGGAGCGACGGGGAGCCCCGCGGTGTGCGCAGCTCGCGGTGGGAAGGCGGAGGCGAGGTTGTCCTGCTCGCTGCCCACCAGCGCGCGGCCACGAGGACGAAATCCTTAGCGCGGGCCGGAGAAGTATGGATCATGGAAGTGAGCACACTTTTGCGTCCTTGAAAGTTGGGTGCGTTTTCAGGTGAAAGTGAGATAAGTGCTTTTGAAAGGTGAAAGTTTGTCATGCGACTGGAAAACAGTGTCAGGAACGCCCGTGACATCTCCGAACGCCTGCATTTAACCCAGTGTAGAATCTCTCCGGAATAGCGAGCCGAGTTGAATACGTGTTTTAAAAATCCAACGTAAGTTCTGCGAAGGACAGAAGTGAAAGATGAGAAAAGCAAGCCTGACTAAAAACATTGGCAGATTGTACAGTGCACCTGGAGGGCTGGGCAGAATCGTAAACAAGTGTGACTACAAGTTCACACACACAGTGTTTTGCTTCTGCATTTAGAAGACAGCAGAGATTTGTCAGATCCCCTTCACGTGAACCCAGAAATATTTATTTGGAAGATAAAGAAAAAGCAGAAAGTTGAGCCTTTCAGCAGTCTGCGTATCCTGCTTGGCTCACATTTTTATATTTTACCAAGTGACTACATAGGTTTGGGAACAACTAATCCTCAGAAAATTGTTAACAATTAAGTAATTTATTCAGGCAAATAGGTAGTGAGTTCAGTTTGAGAGGGAATAAGTCATTAGAATGCAAAATTTATTTAATATTTCTTGTGCAGACAACATGCGCTGGTCTGCGATAGGAGGTAGAGTACTGCAAAGCCGTAAGTAGATTCCTCACAGGCAATTATAATCTGTAGATAAAAACACACCCTCGGAACGGTAATGAGGACTAAAACAGTAAACAAATAGGTTCTGAGTTGTAAGATAGAGATTTAAAGACTAAAAACAGGAATTTGAAAGTAGATAGATGAGTACATGGGGAGGTTTTGAGAGAGAAGCACATACTGGAGCAGAGAGCATTATTTATTTGCAGCCTCGTCTGAGTAGAGCAGGGGGCAGTGTTAGGTAGGTAATGTGGGTGCAGTGTATGAGGGGCCTCCAGGGTCAAGTAGCATTTTGAGTGCTTGGGCATCTCCTGTCTTTGAAAGATGAGCATGTCACACGGATATAGATCAGTGTTAGAGGGGATGGAAGAAAAGGATTGGTTATGGAAAGACAATTTTAAAGGAAAAAGTGGACAGGACTTGGTAACCTAGTATCTGTGGGTGATGAGATTAGAAAGATGCCAAGATCCTCCAAATTTTCACTCCCTAGTGCCTGAGAAAAGAGATACAGTACAGGAAAGGTGTAGGGGAAATACTGACTTAACAGTGTAGAATTTGACTCCATAGTGAGTTTTTAAAATAGAAAGTGTCAAGTAGAAATAGTGTTTTGTGAAATCTAATAGATCTAGAATATTTGGTAAATATCCTTTCTTAACCAAGAAAACCCTTAATTTTTAGAGAATTATTGGATAATGGTCACATAGTAACATTTATCCAGATCAGTAGGTAGTACCATGAAAAATCATGGTGTACTTAGACTAAATTTTCTAATTTTTGGAATAACTTGATAAATGGCATTTTAAAGCTAAGGCAGTGAATTTTGTAGCTTTCTTAATGTGAAGTGTGGGGGAAACTGTGTATGCTAATAAACACTAAAGTTACGTATGTGCCTGTGTTTTTTTAAGAGGCCTTCTATCATTCAGCAGTTAAGAACGAGAACTTTTAAAAGTTTTGGTCATCATCCCTGGCAGCGCAAAAGAAGAAATAAGCCGTGTTCATCACCTTTAGTTCCTGTACATTTTGAAGTGGATGTTTCCCATGAAAATTTAGAAAATATGTCTGAACTGGATACCACACATATCAGTGGTCTTTCTCAAGATTTATCTCGCTCAGAGTCTCCCTCCTGTGTGGAGAGCAGCCCCACTTCATCTGTCCCTCAGGTGTGTCTCACTTGTGAGTCCCGGGAATGTTCAGATGGATTCAGTACCCACATGGTCTTCCATGTGAACGATTCTTCAGACCTGTGAGAACAGTAGAAGGAGCTCCACTGGGCATATGGGGCACAGGGCCTGGTTCTCCAATCCTGTTGGTGTATGAAGAAAGAGTTACAGTTAGAGTGCTAAAACGGATCATTGCTAGCCTGTCATGATGTCCCAGCAGTGCAGCCAGGGGACATGGTCACAACTCTGTCACAGAGGCAGGACAAGAGACCTGACCCCTGGTCTGGAGCATCTTCCACTGTGTCAGTGTGCAGATGATTTGGTTGTCATTTGTAATGACAGTGACACCACCCTACGTGGAAATGACTCCCATACTATGCCTTCATGAAAATTCCTAGTGCCCTTTCTCACAAGATAAAGATCATCATGTCCCAGGGTCTCCATGAGTGTTAAAAATGTTTGACAGTTGGCTAGCAAGAGTATGCAGAATAAGAGAAATCAAGATGTGCCATGTGCAATTAGCTTTTTGTACCTTAAAAATGGACAAATACTGAAAATTTCATGTGACTTAGCCTATACATTGACAAAGCCTTTGCAGGGCTGTCCAGTGATAGGCTAGGAAATGGAATTAAACTGCATTTCATAATTCTACCTCTAGGAAATACTGAAATAAGATACTTATACCAGGAACCACATACATGTGGTCCCAGCACTCAGGAGGCTGAGGCAGGAGAATCACTGTGAGTTCAAGGCCAGCCTGCACTACACAGGGAGTCCCTGTCTCAAAAAATCAAAAAAATTTCAAAGAATTTTAAAAACTAAGATACTTAAAGAATTGTCCATAATAATTAAACATTGGAAACAACATGAATTTTCATAAGGGGCTAATTGAATTACTTTGTAGGTATACAGTAAACATTAACCTTTAATTATATATATATATTTGTTGACAGAAATGGTCACATTGGTCTTACTGGGAGTAGCCATTTGAATGTTTTGTATATGTGATGTTTAGGATTCTTTATGATTAAACACTTGCTAATCAGGGTATAATATACCATGTACCACATTTGAAAAATTGTGTCCTAAATTATATTAGGAGGTTCTTCTTGGATTTCGCAGAGCATTTTATTCTTTATAATAAATTTATGGGCCAAAAAAAACACAAGAAGTTGTCTCTGAAATTTGATGAGTAGTAGAATCCCAAGAAGAGTATGTGAAGTATAGTAGAAAGGCAAATGAATAGGGCTATTTAAAATTTTTATTTGTTTATTTTTGCAGTAGTAAAGATTGAATCTGGAGGTACTGTGCACGCCCAGCCCTGTTTATTTACTGATTGATTGATTGATTGATTGGCTTTGTGAGACAAGGTCTCACTTTGTAGTTCCACTTTACTTTGAACTGACTGTAGCCCAGGCTGGCCTCCAACTCATGGCAGTCCTCCTGCCTCATCCTCCCAGGTGCTGGAATTACAGGCATGTACCACTGTGCCCTGCAATGTTTTTGAGACGTGGTGTTGCTAAATTGCCCAGGCTGCCCTCCAACTTGCAGTCCTACCTCTGCCTCCTGAGTAGCTGGGATTACAGTTGTGTGCTGTTTTATTTTTCAAATGCATTATTATTAATATGTTAAAATTAGGAAGGATGGTCTGAATTAGTGACAAGTATAAAAAGCATTGTTATAAGCTGTAAGTCAGTTTTTATCACTCATCAAGTACATTTAGTACATGAAACAATTCTTTAAAAATGTGATTAGAGCCAGGTGATTTTAATTAGAAATAAGTTTTTAGGACATCATTTAGATCAATATACTTAATATAGTTCATGATAAATGTTTTCCTCAAAATTTTTCCTGATTATTGCATACATAATAGTGTAATGAACACCTTCATCTTAGATAACATTCAGATAACTTTGAAAATAATTTAGTGGTGTCAGTAGTTGTCTCATTATTGGAATTGTTTTATATATCTTAAATGTCAAGAGAATAGATTAACAATTACCCTAAGATGATTAGACAAAGGTTTAACAAGCATCAAAGAATTATCAGTAAGAGATGTATACAATCTGATATATCCCTGGTTATAGTTACATGATTTGACTTGCAAAAAACCTAAAGTATTAAAGCATCAGGTTATTTGTTTGTTATTTAACATTGTGACTGTATTAAATGGTTGTACTAAAAAAAATATATACAATGCAGAAAGATAATAGAAAGCATATTTTATCTGTACAACCAAAATTCTAATAAAAGCCAGGCATGGTGGTATATATCTGTGATCCCAGCCCCTGGGAGGCTGAATCAGGAGGATTGCAAGTTCGAGCCTAGAGTGGGCAATTTAGCAACTTAGGGTGACCCTGTCTCAAAAATTAAAAAAAAGAACTGGGGAATGTAGCTCAGTTTGAAGGCCTTGGGTTTAGTTCCCAGTACTACCCCTGCCAATATATATATATGTGTATATATATATATATATACATATATATAATAAATTAACTGTACATCCCCATTGAGAAGTTTATGTATATCTATCTATATATATATAATAAATTAACAGTGTACATGCACATTGAGAAGTTCATGATATTTGCTTGAAGTATTAATGCCTTTTTAATTAACAGAATGAAAAAAGGGAAAATGAATCTAAACCCACACTTTCTGAGGATATGTGTAGCACACAAGACAATGTGTTAGATGGTGAGTATCTCAGTAATATGCAAAATAGAGAAACAGATTTTTGTGTCCTGTGATAATAACAATAGTATCCAGGTACTGTGCTAAGCACATTATATACCTTATTAAATCTAATCACAAACTATTACGTGAAATAGGGATTTTTTTTTAAAAGTTGAAATAAGGACTATTTTTAATCTTCATTTTACAGATGAGGAGATAAGACTCAGTACCTTGCCTGAGGTCATGTAGCTTTAACTGAGCTGTCAGTCAAGTCCGGTCTCACACACTAGAATTACATGCTATTCAAGTATGTGTTTCAAAATGTGTATGTCAATAAAAATATCTTGAGTCTTACATAGATAGCTGAAAGCTACTTAGGAGTTAATAATATAATGAGACACTTCGCTGATGTTTATTAAAATTCAAATGCTGTATAGAAGTGTTTTTATTTTTAATAATTATAACTAATAATATTAAAATCGAAAGCCTGATTGAAATTACGGAATTCAGTATATGCACAGGTAAGAAATATAAATGGCATAAGGATTAGAAAGTAAAAGAAAAAAATTTAATTTATAAATGTAATTTTCTGCATAGAGAATTCATAAGAACCTAAAATTTTAGAATTAATATGAAAGTTTAGAAGAACTGATTGATTAACATAAAAAACTAACACAATTACAATGTATCAGCAACAGCTTATATAAAAAATAATTTTTAAAAGCAGTATTATCAGCATTGCAAACTAGCGTATCCCAAGAGTAAATCTAACAAATCATGCCATATTTTAATGGAAAAAACTATAAAACTTTCCTGAAGAACGTAAAAAATTATACGTTTCATGTTTGGTATTGTGAAGGTATTAGGTTTCCTTGAGTTATGCATTAATGCAATTTCACTTATCATAAATTGATCCTAACATTCCTAAATAGAAGTGAAAAAAGTTAAAAAATTTTAAAAGTACAATTTTGATAAAAAGCATGTAGAGAATTGTCCTTCTAGATAACAAGATTATTTTTTTTTCAGATACCAAGATCATAAAGTTGTAGTAAATTTAACAATGCATTATGGGCAAAAGGGTAACACTCCAGTGGAATAATTAGAATACAGTCCAAAAATAGATCCACTTATAAAAGTGGACACTTGATATTTGATAAAGATGTCATCATAAATCAGTGGGGGAAGACTAGGTTATTTATTCAGTTTT